GAGTTCATTTTAAGAGTTTATTATTTAATAAAAAAAATTAACACTTCTAATATTGTGTAGCTGGCATACATTTAGTATGGAGGTTGAAAACATTAAATTTTCGGATAGATCCAGTTAATTCTGTAACCTATTATTGGTACCGTTTGAAAGACCTCGTGAAGCACTTTCAGGATCAGTAACCAGTTTTTCGAAATCTTGTATAGTTTAGAAATAATCGAGTGAGATCACTTATCGTTTCCACCCGGTATATACGATGTGTATGTCACAAAAATGTCCATTATCTATAAGTTTAAATAGAGCAAACATTGAATTAAAGGACTAGGAGAATTTAATATCACTAGTTCGGGAACTCACATGGTTATTTCAAAGTTATGTGGTAAAATCTTAATTTGCGACTAAGGCCCGATCCGACCAAACTTTTATCCGAGAATAACTCCCAGTCTGACACACTGGCAGTTTCAGCATAATATTTATTCTTGTTTGGTCGAATTTATTCACCCATATTAGGATAAACATTACTATAACAGTCAATATTTTGCTGACTGTGAATTTGGCCTCTAAAGCCAAAACTACAAAACACTGAATACACTGAATGCTTTTAATATTTCTATGTATTATACACTGATTTAAACTCATAACCCTTGCGTCGCGCGGTCGGTCAAAAGTGTTGATTGTAATCATACAAACACAGAGCGCCAACGTTCGGCCGGGCCACATGGTCGCGGCTATTTATACTGCGGCTACCGCGTTCACCTGAGTAGCCACACGTGGCCATTGTTTACATCAAGAAACTTTAATTTCGCGACTTAACTGGATAATTGTTACAGTAAATAACTTCCTTCTGGCGCAGTAGGGTAAAAACAAGGCATTCCAAGCAAAACTTTAATTTTGCGACTTAACTGGATGATTGTTACAGTAAATAGTCCTCCTTCTGCGCAGTCGAGTAAAAATAAGGCATTCCGTGGAAAAATATTAAATTTTATTGTTTTAAAACAAGGCGTAAATAAATTAACCCATTATTTTAAGTTTTCAACATGTGAATTTGCTGTAGGTACATATTACAAATTACTAGTAAATCAAGATGGCAGATTATGATTTCTCTTAAATAAGCATATAAACAGGCACAGGTTTTATTTATCCTCAGATCAGAAGGGAAGTTTTACCTATTTGAAGCAGGCAAGCAGGTAGACACTACTTCAAAACAATAGTTTTAGATATAACAAACTTCTATTAGGAGTTGATTAATGCTCCACATTTTGGAAGATAGTAGGTAGCTTTTCGTAGGCATTGAGTTATAATGTACTCGGTACGGAGTAATATTACTTCAATGTTCGTAGGTAATTTTACTAAAGTGATTTCAACCAGCGTCTCTCTGTCATCTGCCAAAACTGATATTCATCAAATAGTCTACAGGAAACTGTAATGAAATGACAAATACACAGAAATATAGCTCTATAAATACTAAAACAAACCAAAAAAAAATATCTTCAAAGATCTTTTTTATCTTCTGCAATGCACTTTATTATCATTCATCGTCATCAGGATAAAATCCCCCAAATGCGGTTAAATTGTTTCATACAAATAGAAAACTGTTTGTTTATATTTTACGTTTGGTCTTTGATTTGTATCGAGTCTGTGTACGTTTTATATTATTGAGTAAGCAACTCTTTAATACTCTGTTATCAAAATAGGAAATCATACAACGATCTTCTTTGTACTACCGAGAACAAGAACTCTAACAGATTTGTGATAATTTCCTAGTTCAGTGGACGATTGTTTCAATGAATAAATTGTCACATAATTCTTGGAAACGCTTTATTAATATGAGTAATTTGTTTGAAGTTGATAACCTTTGTGCCAAAATGTAGAGCCAGTTGTTTTATTAAAAAAATAACGTTGGATTTATAAAGTGAATAAGAGATGCATGTTTTGTAAAGTTTCAATTTTGCAATTTAAGATTTAGACTCTCTAGACTCTGAGATTCGATATTATATGCATGTTTTATGTATTCACCTCCAGTTTTGTTGTTTGCAAGAGTTACACTCTCTAGAGAGATTCTGGGTTTGATTACGAGATAGGTCACGTCATGGTGAATTAAAGAAACACGGGTAAAAAACACGGCATCATGGTTAGTTTAACCAGTTTAACATGATACTCGTAGATTCCATTTTGGTTCATAGTGTCTGACACTACAATCAGAGGATTCCAGTTACCTATCTTAACGTAAAAAATGGGTTACTAAACCTTTGTTTGTCACCTGTCATCCGCTTTGCAACGGAGGGAAGTCGAACCTTAACTTCGAACTCCTCCTATGTTCTTCTGATTAATTTCATTGCGGGTCCAATGACAGTTTAACTTTCCCCCGGAACAAACTTGACCTTCACTGGTTGGGTTTTTATTGGCGGTCAAGCTGCAGATCCTGGCTACACAGGAGTTGCAGGAGTTGCAGCGGTGGGAACGAGAGCTGGGAATAGTCCCGTACAAAATAGAAGGATAATTATGTTCATTCATCCATATTGAATGGGTTGTTTACTAGTTTATTATCATGACTACGAATATATTCACAATGTGAGAGTAAAACATGTGCAACATGCATTTTTAATGTGTGCATGTGGATTGAGTGATCCTTGCTTCAATCTTAACAAAAATCGAGGAAGTTTTACTTAAAATATGTTAAAACATTGTGATGAAGTTTAAAAATTTGTTAAACCTAAGATAAAAATGTTATGGCCAATAAATAGGAGCACTCATACCGCACGCTTTAAGAAAACGTCAAAATGTTTATTTCAGAAAATAAAGCCTTTCCACTTCTTTTTATAGTATTGAAAAATTGTTAAGAATATGTTAAAACTATTAACAAATTCCGAAATCCCTTGCACGTCCCGTTCCAAAGTTATGACGATTATTTAGGATCACTCACACCGCACACGGGCCGTATGAGTGCTCTTCAAAATCATGACTATTTATTTATTAATAAATGAAGGAAAACTTCTGATGAATCGAAACAGTCTCACAAAATAAAAAATCATATGTACCCTAATCAACATTTTCCTTTAGGAATCATCTAAGCCTGATATTTCTTAAATTCTGACCTTAATAAAAGCAAACTATATGCCAAGTAATTGTTAAAAACGATTAACAATTTTAGATACTAACTCAGTCTGCCTACGAACTACATATGAGCAGATAGAGGTAAAAGTAAGGATCACTCACACGGCATATTGGAGGAAAGAATAAAGGTTAATTTCTTCCTTCAGCTTTTAAGTTTTGTCACACTTATTCTTTAACAAATTCGCTCGTCAGTTTGCACACATTTCCCAACAGAAATAAAACGTATTTATTAATAAATAGTCATGATTTTGAAGAGCACTCATACGGCCCGTGTGCGGTGTGAGTGATCCTAAATAATCGTCATAAGTTTGGAACGGGACGTGCAAGGGATTTCGGAATTTGTTAATAGTTTTAACATATTCTTAACAATTTTTCAATACTATAAAAAGAAGTGGAAAGGCTTTATTTTCTGAAATAAACATTTTGACGTTTTCTTAAAGCGTGCGGTATGAGTGCTCCTATTTATTGACCATAACATTTTTATCTTAGGTTTAACAAATTTTTAAACTTCATCGCAATGTTTTAACATATTTTAAGTAAAACTTCCTCGATTTTTGTTAAGATTGAAGCAAGGATCACTCAATCCACATGCACATATTTTTAATTAGTAAAAACTTCCTGCTTTGTATTAATTATGCACACTGGGAATTCCAAATTGAGACTATTAACTTATTTTTAACTGGTTGTTTATTTATAAACACAAACGTATCCATGGAAGTATTTAGGAATAGTTTCAATGGAGTATATCTAAAAAGGACTGACTGACTGACTGACATAGTGATCTATCAACGCACAGCCCTAACCACTGGACGGATCGAGCTGAAAATTGGTATGCAGGTAGATGTTATGACGTAGGCATCCGCTAAGACAGGATTTTACAAAACTTCACCCCGAAGGGGGTAAAACGGGATCCACTCGTACGAAGTCGCGGGCGGCCGCTAGTTTATCATAAATCAAGATATTACCAGCTGTCTAAATATATTTTGATCGGGAAAGGTTAGCATGAAATGAGTAATGTTACTCATTTCATTTTTCATGTATTTCTCGCTGTTATTCCACGAAGGTAGGACCAGACTTGGTTGAGCTCCAGAATTTCTGACAGGCCATAGATGTGTGTCATCTGTGTAAAATATATTCTTGTTTATTACATTGACCTTCGATGTCATAAAGTGGAAGAAGGACTCGTTCTACAACCCTTTTGTTTCTGAGGAGTTGTCTACCATGATCTGACGTGGAATTGTGTAAAGCAATCGTAATCATTTGACAGTTCATAACGTACGATAAAATCCGTTAAACAAAGCGTTTGACAGAATAATCGTACGTTATGAACTGTCAAATGATTACGATTGCTTTACACAATTCCACCTCTGATTGCCAATCAAGTCCGATTAATTACTGGATAGCTGGTCTCAAGGCCAAACTATTTGGGATTCGAATTGGGGCTCTGTTTTACGAAAGGTAAGAATTTATTGAATCTGGAATTCTGGAGATTGCAAACAACAAACTGTGGATCCAGTGGGATCTTATTCTCTCGGAAATTCGTATACAATTTTATTTAGATATCACTTACACGAGGTACGAAATATTTGGATCGATCACTGATGTCAGAGTGAATCATTACGATATTAATTTGTCTAGTTAGAGAAATAGATGCTGGTATTTTAAGGTAAGTACCTATTGAGATGTTTTTCTTGATCTTGTGACTATCAGATAGACTAATCATGTTTTTACTCTTTTGATCAATGTCTGTCGACCTATCTCTAAGTAGGTACTACTGGAATGTTATGAAAATGGCTGTGAAATTGACTCTGATTTTCTTCTCCTATAACCCTAGAACCCTATGCAATGTAGAGTAAAGTGAATGTACGTTATAAATAAATCCCAAATACCTGATCGTTCTGATCGTGCGTCAGATACAGCCAGCCCAGCAGCGCTTGAGGGCAGTTCTCCATCTTGCCGCACCATTGGGGCGGTTCGGCGCCGATGGCAGTCGGAGACATCGCTACATCAGATCACAGCACTCGCGAGTCGATGGAATGTGTCGATATTGAATCGATTGGCTTTCTTTTGTGTCGGTCAGCCCATGTCAGCGCGCCCAGTGGGTATTTTTGTCTCGGCGGGATGCGCGCGCGCCGGCCCGAGAGAGACTAGCGGCCGCTCCTTAAGATGGGATGGCGGGAATAGGCCAGGGAGACGCCTGGGCGAACGTTGTCGATGTTTAGTGATGACGCATTTGGTGGGATTCGATGGAGAGTCGAAGTTTCGAGATTGTTTCAAGAATTTTTTTAACAATAATTATGTCTTTCGTTTGTGATGAATAGACCATTATTTATGATATTGATGCACCTATAACTTTAGATTTAAGTCGGATTAGTAAAAGACAACAGTATCGATTGATTTAATAAGGACTCTACCTGATAATGATCCCAATACCTAAAGCAGCAAGGTTATGATTTACATTAATTGTATTACTAGTTGGTAAAAATGATAGAGATTGCTTACAAAAATGGTTTATTGTCTCAAAAATTTACTAGTTACTTAGATACTTGGGTACTACATACACTAATTTGAGTTATACCTAATACCTTCTTGGTGACATATCTGGTTATTATGGTATCTTATCAAAAATAAATTCACGAAAAACTAAAACTAATTAAAATTGGCACAAACAATATCGATATCAAAACACATACCCCATCACTACCGAACATGTGGGTGCACCCGACCGCGCCGGGACTCCGCGGAGAGCAATATTTTCGTTCCCCTCCTACCACGACACCCGCCGGTGAACATGCGCGGGCGCAGCTTTACGCGTAGCGACCGAAAAGCGATACTGAAACATTTTATACACATCTCGTGGTACGGAGGCGATACCCGAATGAAGGGGAGTCCGAAGAGAACTCTCTTTAAAGTAACATGTGAAATTAATGTTTATTCAGAAACAAAATGTTATTGTTTCACTTCGCCTTTGATGGAAGCGTTTTGTTATTCTCAAACCAAGGTGACTAAAATAACGCTTATAAATTATTATTTTAAAAATACCTACCTAATAATTGAACCGTTAAGTCTAGACATAAACGTTTTATGAGTAGGTATATCATGTTTTATGAGTATGGACGACGTGCTTTACTAAAAAGACAGTTTGAAAATAAAAAAGCTACTTACCTTGTTCCATAATTCGTTTATTACACCCTTAAATAGGTAAAAAGTATTTTACCAAAGATGTTTAAAGTAGCATAAGTTTCTAAGCTCTTACATAATATGTTCGTCTGTCCAGCTATCACGTTACAGCTGAAGTACTAATAAAATACGCGATTTATTATTACGTTTTGTTAAATTTATTGCCGTAAATTAGGCAAAGGTTGACGTGCCGAGTGTTAATTGAATACAAGGGTCCACTGAGACCACTTAGTTTAGAGTTTTGAGCTTTTAAGTGCTCCAAACAAACTTTTGGAGCACTTAAAAGCTTCGTTTGTTACGCGAAGCGGACTGAAGAATTATTGAGACTGTTTCATTTCGAATGTGGGACCTTTTTTTGCTTTCTTCAGGAATAATATAGTCTTCTGATCAAAATCAGTTAAGCCGTTATAGAAATTTTGCCATGATGCCCTTTTATTTCGTATGTAAATGCTATGGGTTCAGTAAGGATAAGAAATAATAAGGCTTTCATTATAATTTTTTGTACCTCAAAAGGCTTTTACTCATAATGTATTTTTAGTTTTCCAAACCCTCAGTAAAAGTTTTGAGTACTGAAGTAACGCGTGAAAACTGTATAAACACTGTTTAAAAATGCAACGCTGTGTTAGGGCTGGCACCCATAGTTATGAAAGTTTATCGTAAATGTTCAGTCAGGTATAATATTAATAGATTATGCTATTACAGTAATTCTAAGCTATAAGTGTAAGTAATTAATGGAAGTAAAAATGTATTTTTAGACGCTAGTAAATACGTCAAGGTAGCTTCTAAAACATGGTCATTCATATACACCTACATTTATTTATGTACCTACTTTGTACTCCCGAAAGTAATGAAGCAATATTTCAAACTCTACATTTTACATTGATTTAAAATCAACCTAGTTGTTATTATTGTGTATTGACAACATTTTGTATTTCTACTGTTGGAGCTAAAGATTCTGATAGCCAGTTCCACTGTGTAAAGGATTCTGATATATTCCCTTTCCATCAGGTGACATCCAGGTCAAAAGCATCCACGCAATGAAAACAAACCTCAGTCATTGAACGTCCATTATAAACGTTTATTAAAAATGAAATGTTTATTAATGTATGGTGACAGCCCTAACCCCAACAGAGGTGTCGGTCGTTAGTGCGCGGTCGGTTCATTACCCTCCGCATGTATTTCAGTTTGTATGTTTACGACGAATTCCACCATTAAGTTTGGCTGAAATCAACGTACAGTAGACATAGGCTAGGTTGCACCAACTTACTTTAACGGTAACTTTAACATGCGTTTTATATATGAAGATTAACAAATTTTTGACGTTTGTTAAAGTTAAAGAAAGATGGTGCAACCCAGACATAGTGTTTACTTTGATAAACCGTCTTCTTTACCTACTGAAAAGTTTTCTTGTATGCTTTGCTACAAAACGGGACTATTCCCACCTCTCGTTCCCACCGCAGTAACTCCTGTGTGGCCAGGATCTACAGTTTGACCGCCAAGAAAAACCCAACCAGTGAAGGTCAAGTTTGTCCAGGGGGAATGGAAGCTGGAACTGTCATATCTGGAGACAAAATAAATAAAGATAAGCAAATTATAAGTTGATGATTAGTATTCTGCTGGACAAAGTGGAAATCCTTGGGGGAGGCCTTTGTCCAGCAGTGGACGTCTTTCGGCTGAAACGAACGAACGAACGATTAGTATTCTGTGAGTTAAGATATTATACAACAAGTTTAATATAATAGTTTTCCAATAGTCCGAGCATCTGAACCAATTACAGCGGTCATATTCCTAAACCCCAAACAAGCAGGTCACTTTAAGTTCTATCAAGATCTATTGTGCACTGACATGTAGCAAATCACGATATTACAACACCAAATTGAGAAGCATCTCAAGTCACCTTTTCTATATTGAAGTGTGGGCCTTTTAGTTTGTTCGTGTAAGGGTATTGAACGGTTCTCATTGAGTTAATTGGAAGGAATCATGCGGACCAATTGAGTTTATTAGTTGTGATGCAAGAGTTTATTTTACTGACGCACTCGTTTTTACTGCGGTTTTACTTGCGGGTATGATTTTAGTGTAATATTGGGATTACGACGCCCGTATATACAAACGATGCTTGCTTAAGTGAAGCAGCAAATCGAAGGCACAGCGTTGAATAGAGCTCTGTGATTGGTTCGTGTGTCACCCTGTGCGTCCACGCGCACTGTGATACCTCATAGAATTTTTTTTTAATACGGGTAGTAGCTCTACTTTCATCCGAAAAGATGACATCATCATTTCAGCCATAAGACGTCCACTGCTGAACATAGGCCTCCTCCAATGATTGCCACAAAGGCCGGTTCGTAGCGGCCTGCATCCAGCGCCTTCCTGCTACCTTTATGAGGAGAGTTTTCGAAATATAACTGAGTTTGAATTCTCCTCAAAGTAACTCAAAACGGATGATCTTCAAGGGTCAGTTATAGGCATGTTTTTAAACAAAAGAGACCCAAATGGTCAACCAATATCTCAGCATCCAGAACATGTGTTTTATAAATCATTGTGTTCTGTCTTTTGAAATGAGTGTGACGTATTTTGTGCAATGTTACAAACATATGGCAGACGTTTAGTCTGTAGGGAGTCTATAGGGACCATTATGTCATAAGTTTGGTTGTTTTTAATAGAAACAACAGGAACAATGAGTTACGTGTCTAAAAAATACACTGTGCGTTTGTAAAGAAGAAGGATAAAAATAAAAAAGAGTTATAGTACCATCTATCATCTAATAAAAACATGTTTTACCAATTTTAACTTTTAAAAGAAAGTTATTTATTAAATTTCTTATAAAATGTAATTAGCACTAAAAACAAACGCTTTTAATTACACATAATGGCAATAACATTAAATAATGTATAATGTAGTTAATAATTTTATTTAAGTAATATTTACTTAAGTGTTAGTTTATGTGTTTAAGGTATGCTTTTAATGTAACAATGTCAGACTATAATATGCATGGTCGTCAACGTGGCGATCGTATACTTACATAAACACAAACAATTTTGAAACAAATCTTAGCTTGGGTTTATATTATCGCTTCCTTCAACCACGGTAATACTTATAATATTATTACCGTGCTTCAACTCTCGCTGCGCGACTTGTCCTATATTATTCCATTTTGCATTCATAAAAGTTAAATTTTTCCAAACGAATTATTACTCAAATAATTATTGCGCCTGGCAGTAAGGCTACATCAAAAAGGTCAATACAAAATAAATAAAAATATACTTGACATTTCGGTAAAATTGTTCCAAAATTGACAGTTATTATTTGTCACCTCAAGAATCCATTTGTTAGAGTTTTTTATTGAGTTTAAAATTGTATTTATTCTTGTTTAAACAAGTGTTTTATCCGCATTTGAACAGTATTGTTTGTTTGGTAAGTCGCTATTGATTATTTTAGATGTATTACACACTATGATCTTTCGTACTTATCTATGGATAGAACTCGATTGAAGACCTATGCGTTAGGCCCAGAACAGACGGTGAACTACAACGAAACTGCAACTGCTAGTTACTTTTGAGTGACATCTAAGTTTCTGCCATAGCGTCATTGAGTTATAATGTACTACGTACTAGAGAAGACATGTCAACTAGACTGTTTCTGGCACGTAAATAGGTCCACGGACCGAAATTCAATTAGTATGTGCTCAGCGGTTGCTGTGACAACACGCTTGAGTGCAGTTTTGTTTTTTGAAATATGCCATCCTATAGACGAAAATACTGTTCAAATAACTCCAGATACATATTAAGTAAAAATCAAGGAATGACTTTTTACCATTAAGTTGTACATTTATGCACTTTAAAACACTAATTTAATTTTAATTTGTTAATTACAAGGCGTCACCGCGGCGGCAGCCATTTTACGAAAATTTCAAAGAATAAAAATCGCAGACTTGACACTGACGCATAAATTAGTATACGAAAGGAAGGTTAAATACAGCAATAAAAAG